TAATAAATATATAATAATATAATATAATAATATATAATAATATATATATATAATATATATAATTATATAATATTATTAATATATATATTCATTATTATATTTATTATTTCGCGTGCCGTATCTGAATAACGACAAATTAGCCGACGGACGACACGCATTCTAAACAACCGGTAGACCGCGAACCTTTGTACTCGTATATATATATTGACGTTTCAACGGAAATGAGAAACGCCTCACGGTATGTTGCCCGTTTTCCCCGCTTTACCGAGAATTCGTAATTACACGGCACACACGCCACTTACAAGCGTTCTCCTGGCCTGCGCATACCGGGTGTCAAGCGGCCGAGCTCGGTCCGTGAAAAAAGAAGCCGCCGTTACGAGATTAGTCCTTAGACGGGGTACGAGTCGTTTTTACTTTCGCGGGATTCACAGGTGTCCCTCGAAGGAAGCCGTTTCGCCCATTCGACCGCTGTAATTGTCAGCCGCTGTCCGTTCCGCCGCTTATACGTATTTTCGCGTTCCAACGTAACTGGTTTCCTCCGAACAGCGTTACTTTTCCACGCCCCGTCTCTTCTATCCTTTTCTCCACCACGAGAAGAAGAAACGATTTCGAGTTAACGATCGTTCATTCTCTTATCGATTTTTAAAATCGAAAAAAAGAAAAAGGAAAAATTTATTGCCGTGCGAATGGTGCGTGTGCCCGTTCGCAAACGCGTCATCTGATTATCATTGTATACGCTGATGATGATAGCGTAACGTTATATATCGCAATTGCATCATCGTTTCTTGGAAAAATTGTGGCGCGACAGAGGGGAGACAGAGAGTCAAAGTTTTTATTGTTTCACCTGCCGACGTGTCTCGAATGAAAATAGTCCGCGACGCGATCAAAGGGAATTTTTTTTCTCCTTGAAATTCGATATCGAGAGCTAAAATTAGGTTCATCGAACGAACGGACACTTGTTGCTCTTGTCGCGACCCGTACACTCGTGATAAATGGAAGAAATTTCTTTGTTGCCTTCATAACGTGAACCTTTCTTCGCCTTTATTCGAAAAAACTTTTACTTTACGTTGCTTTCACGGTATGTATTTAATTGGCATCGAACTAAGGTGGTACGCGTTAAAGTATCTTGATATCAAAGTCGATTTCTCAATTTTTTTTTATTCTATGTTCGAGGTGATAAAATATCCAATTCAATTGTTTTACTGTTTCTTTCTTTTTTTTTCAATAACGAATGGTCAAAATATAACCTCGAAATTTAGCTTTCGTCGCTCGAAATACGATCCATTCTTGCTCGAACGCATTGGAATTAATGGAAGAATACGTTTTATATATTCGAATTTATTTCTTAGACACATCAGATAATTATTAAACTTAATCGCCCCCAGAATCAACCTTTAATTATATCTATCAAATCTTTCAACGAGATATTATTGAGAAATTTGTTCAACGTGTTGGCAATAATCGGACTCGCGTAATTCGATATCTCAGTTTGATAATCGTCGAGTAATCCGGGTAATACCTCGGTAATAGCTTTGCTCAAAAGCTTGGACACCTCCTCGTCGTTGTATAATCCGGTGATCGCGCACTGGAAAAATTGTAAAGTTTTTTGTCGTTTCAATTCTCATCCGTACATATTACGGAACGACACGAATACTTACATTGAATTTCTTTAGATGGGCATAGAACGTCAGATTCGAAATATTTAGTTTGTTATTCTGTACACCCAATTTTAAGTTTACCGTTACGTTAAGATCTTTGATGGCCACGCTGAAATTAAAAAAGAAAGAAGATAAGATTTTTTTCGTCGTATTACGAATGCTGTATCTTGACCGATAACTTTTGAATAACTTTGAGTTTGGAAAAAGTAGATAAATCGAGAAAATGATTCTCGATGCGATCCGTGAACTGTAGAAATCTATGGTATCTACATAGATATCGCGCGTCGATAATGTCGAGAATCTACAGGGCCGACTGTAGTTTTTAAGCTTCGCCATTTTATCCAAAGATGTGATTACTCGCATATCGAGAGATATTTTTCTTTTCTTTTCTCCCTCAAAAAATATAAACGATTTATAGAGATTAAGATTAAAAGATAAAACGCAATCTTTTATCAAACTATTCTACTCTATATAGATTATATATTCGATTATATTTTATATCGAATAATAATAGAGAAAATATAAAACTTACCGGATGTTTCCATTACCGAAGATGGAAAAACTATCGACGAGTGTGCCGGTTACATTGTAGTCGGTCATAATATTAATTTGATTGAAAAGAAGGCCGATGTCAGCTTTAAGACCAGCGAGCATAAAATCGCC